ATACATTGCTCCCTCTCTCTCCAGCCACATAGGTACAGGCTGCCCCACACTGCCAACAGCCTGTCTGGTTGCCTAGAGTGGGGGCCCAGTGATGAGAGCAGGTGCTGGGGGACATACCGGGAGGAGGTCTGGCTGCCAGGTTTAGGAGGGCAATGGTGCTACTCCTGCTCAGGGAGCTGAGCCAGAGAAGCAGACCACCACTGGGAGAGCCCTCTAGGGTCACCCTGTGAGGAGACTAAGTAGGCTGTGCCCCCCGCCACCAGCCTCTGGATCTGGTAGTGAGGAGGGGCAATAATGGGAAGTCTGTAGAGTGGACTCCCACGCAGGGCCCTCCTTCTCCTGGCTCCTGGGATAGCTCTGCCTTGCCAGCCCCTGCCTTGTGCCTCAGTCAGTAATATGAACTGAAAAATCACACCAAACTCCAGGCCTCCCCCGTTTTCTTGTTCTGCCCCTCCTTCCCCATAAACCAGATGCTTTTGTGTCCCATCCGTAGGTCAGGTACTGGGGTACAGTGGCTGGAACGAGGGGTCCAGGCCATTTACTTCTGACTCTAGAGTGCTTAGGGCCTGGCCACAGAGCAGACAGTGCTTCACGCCTCTTAGGGCTGAGCAGGAGCCTGAGCCCAGTTTAAGGGCATTGGCTGGTGGAGAAACTGAGGCTCCAGGTCACCCTCTGAGCCGCAGGCAGACCCCAGAGCCTTGCTCAAGTCTTCCCCTCAGGCTGACTCACTGATGCATGTGACAAAGGAGGATACCATGGCAAGCAGACTCCAGGGCTGGCAAAACCCTCGGTGTCACCAGAGTGACTGCTGAGCTGCCCAGAATAGACCTTGCCCAGCTACCTGGGCTCTGAGGACTCACTTGAGTGGAGGGTGCCATTCGGAGTGTTGGGCTATGTCCTGCCCATTCATTGCAGGGTGCCCTGTACACCCAAGTGAGGCTTCCAGTCCCCTTGGGATCCCACTTTCCTCCCCTCTTCAGAGGCCCCAAGATATCTTGCAATAAGTCATCCAATACTGGCTTGTGGTCCACCAAGGCCCCTTGATTGTTTCCCTACTTGGCCATTTCCACCCTTCCAGAGTCATGGGGTGTTACCTGCAGGACCAGCTGTTGCCAGGCCATTGGCAGGGGCTGCCCACTGCCCACACCACCACTGCCCATGCTGGGCTGCTGGGCACGCTCCAGCTGCAGGGCAACATGGCGCCGCTCCTGCTCCAGCGCTCGCGTCAGTCGCTCAAAGCGGGCCTCCTGCTCTTTCACCGAGGCCAGGATGCTGGCAGCTGAGTGCATGTTGCAGTCCTCCATGACCAGGATGCCAGCAGGCTGCAGGCAAAGCAGAGCAAGGTCAAGGTGGGGCCAGGACAGAGGCCTAGAGAGGCCATCATAGGCCTCATGCCCAACCCACTCACAGATCATACAACTCACTCCCAGACCAGAGCATCCAGCTCTCCAGAGAGAAGCTGCATTGATTAAATTCTAAATTAAAAGCCATTAATCTGAGGCGGGCCAGAAGCAGCCAGCTCCCTCCTTGCGGAGTGTGGGGCTCTGAGCTGGGAGCCCCTGCGTCCTGCCAGGCCCAGCAGAACCACTGACCGTGAGCATCCGGGGCCCTCTGGGAAGGGAAGGGTAGGAAGAGCTGGTATGACCACCTCTCAGACCACCCAGGCCCTCTGCTGCCCACAGCGCATGCCGGTTCATCCCAACCTCATGGGGCCAGCACAGGCCCAACTCACGGAGGCAGTTCTCCGGCCCAGAGAAGGTAGGGACCACAACACAGCTCGTGTGGCAGAGCTGGTGCCCCCGTGGGCAGGGAGAGAGAAGGCACTCCACAGCCACCAAGTGGGCAGGACCCCTAGGCAGGTGAGGGGACCAGCAGGTAGGCCTCCACTCACAGCCACACTGGCTGGGAACAAGAGTGCTATCTACCCGCATGACAGAGTAAAAATCTGGTTGAGATGCTGAACTCAGAAGCAGCCCATGCAGCTCACGCTGGATATGGAGGGAAGGTGGAGGGCAGGGTCCCAGGCATGTAAAGCCCCGTCTATAGGGAGGGCCCCAGGGGTGCGGGAAGGGGCAGCAGGGACTCAGCAACTGCAGCCACACACCAGCATTCTCCTCGCTGCTGGCTCCCTGGCTGCCCAGCCTATGTGCTCTTCGTGAGCAACAAGAAGCAGGGGAAGGATGTGGAGCACAGACCTGCTCACAGCAACAGGCCAGCAGGTGGGGTGCGGGCCATGAGACCACATGGCTAGGTACTTGGGGTGTGGTGCAATGCCCAGCACTGCTCGGGGCCTCCTCCTGGCCCAGCCCACACCAGCCTGCTTGAGGCTGACTCGGCCGGCCCCAGGGCCCATTCACAGCACAGGGCCTGAACTTAGAGACATAGTGTGGTAGGCAACACCCTCGGAGGGCCAGCTGCAAGAACAGAACCCTAGAAAGGAGGGGTTGGTGTTGGGTCTGGCCATTGGTACCAACTGAGCCAGGAACAGGGTTGGGGGGCATGCGTGGACATGGAGTTCAAGACACCATGGATCCCAGCCCACTCTGAAGCTGGGGAAACCAGGCCCCATGAAGCAAGAAGCCAGCATAGGTCCCAGACGCTAAGCTTCATTTTCCTCAGCACCTGCCACACAAAGAAAACTGTCAGCGTGACCCAGCAGAGGGGCAGCGAAGTCAGCATGTTGGGCTGGGAGAGGCGGTGACCATCTTGGGGGAGGGGAGGAGCTTGGGTGGCAGAGGGGATGAGGAAAGTCTAGACTGGGTTCTGGGGCCAGCAAGGAGTAAGGGACAAAGAGCATGGCATGTCCACGGCTGTGTGCACACAGCCTCCTGGGCATACCCACTGCTACCTGGGTACGGGCCCCAGAAGCACGCAGCCCCACAGCTGGTACCACCCGACAGTAGAGTAGGACTGAGCCTGGTGGCCCCAGGTGGGGCAGGGGATGGAGCCAGGTCACTCGAGTCCTTGGTCACAGCAGGGGTCTCAAGGCCCTGGGAGGCTGGGATCAGGACATCTGTGAGCCTTGTACCTAGGTGACTTTCCTCCTTCCTTGTGCCGAGACATGGGTTCCTGACTGACTTCAGTCTCCCCTTCAGACCAGGCTTAGGGGACAGCAGGGGAGGGGCAGCCCCAGCCTCTAGCTTCACTGCCCTGGGCCCTCCAGTAAGTTCCAGCTCTGGGGTCCAAGGAACGCCCCCCATAAAGGGAGCCCACTTACTCTGGCTGGGGGCCAGCGAGAGGCCCAGAAATCTAAGGCTATGGGGAGAAACCCCACAATGACCTTCCCATTGCCCAGTTCTCTCAGCTGGAGCTAAGTGACTGTGTGTCTCCCAGGAGACACCCCCAAACGCCAGTTGGCTTGGAGGAAGAATACCCTGTAGTCATCCACGAAGACCAGAGACTCTGAGTCTGGGGCCCAGGCTCTGTGCCCCAGCCCGAGGGTGCACCCCTCTTTCTGCCTGTGAGTGGGGAGGATGCTGGGCCTGTAGTCCACAGCCTCCTCACCTCAGTGGCCTTGAGGACAGGCCTAGGGTATGCAAGGTCCTGATGTGGTGGCCTTCCTGGTTCCGCGGTGTATGGCTGTGCATAGGAGTGCGTGTGGGCACAGGCGAGCCAGGCCAGTGCTCCAGAGGGCGGCTTTTCTAATGGTAACTCAAAATATTAAAACAATAAATATATGATGACATGAAAAGCAAATTGTACATGAATTTTTTAAAGATTTTATTTATTTGAGAGAGAGAGAGAGAAAGAGAGAGAGAGAGAAAAAGATAGAGAGCACACGTGCACACGCACACAAACAGGAGGGTAGGGGCAGAAGGAGAGGGAGAAGCAGACTCCCTGCTGAGCAGGGAGCCTGATGGACAGACTCGGGGCTCTATCCCAGGACCCTGGGATCATGACCTGAGCCAAAGGCAGTTTCTTAATGGATTGAGATCCCCAGGCACCCCTATGCATGAATTTTTAAGATGGACCATGAAACTTTAAAGACATCATCCCCACGGGGACATCAGGGAGGGGCCCAATCCTGGGCAGGGCCTGAGGCCAGCAGGGAAGCACCATGCTTGTGGGGATCTTGGCTGACCCTTGCTCTCCTCTCTGGCCAGGGTTATCACAGCTTCCATTCACCTGGAAAGGGCCCCACACTGCCCATCAGGCAGAGCCCTCACAACCCTCAGCCAGACCCCAGCTGCTGGCTTTGCAGTCCCTGGTGGAGGCTGCTTCTCACCACACCCGACCACCCAGGAACGAACATGCAGTGCAGACCCAGTCTCACTGACCCCAGGTAGGAATGAAGGTAGTGAACCTGGGGTAAACCTATCTTTGCTTGGACATCCCACCAGTGACCCCAGGTAGATAGACTGCTGAGTGGATGAAGGGATGGAAGGACAGGAGGCAGGATGGATGGGGAAATGGATAGGAGGGTGAGTAGGTAGGTGGTTGTGCGAGAGGATGGCGGTGGATGGAGTCAGATGAGCAGGTGAATGAGTAGGTTGGAAGTGGGAGGGTAGAGAGTCAGATGGGTGGATGAATGGGTGCGTGGGTAGATAAGAACAAGGCTCTGAAATGCTGTTGGGCAGGGGGAGCATGGAGCCTGAGCACTCTGTGGCACAACTGTGGCCAACACTTGGGTCTATCAGGAAAGCAAAGACACCACCAGAGGAGCTAAGGGAAGACGCTGATCCTTCCCCCAAAACCTAAACCCACATTTGATGTCTTCCTGCTGACCCAGACATTCTTCCTCACAAGGAGTCCAGCCAAACCCTGCTCCAGAAAATCAAATTATGGGGCCTGAATCCAATCTGGGTTGAGGAATTAGAGGAATTTCCTAAGGGTCAGGCCAGCAGGGGGAGGCAGGCAGAAGGCCTGGGCTCCAGTCCTGACTCCTCATCGGCCATCTGTCGGCCCACTGCCACATGTCCCCCAAGAGCGGGGAGAAAGGACTGGCCACTGGTTGAACCCCATTCTGCCCCTCCCACCCCCCACCCACCACCTTGCCCATCTAGATAGGGAAGTGGTGTGAGCAGCAGAACCCTGGCCTGGTGGTTCCAAGGCCCTCTTTGCCCAAGAGGGCGTCATGTCCCCTACCCTCCACACTGCCAGCATGGAGACCTGCTCCCAACACTGCTGGCCAGGCTTCACGGGGGCCCATCTTTACCCTGTCACCCGTACTATGGTCAGACGGTGCCCACAGCTGCAGGGATAGCCTCTGGCCAGCCCACAAGGATGGGCACTGGGCCACCGCTGGAGGAGGAGGCCAGGGCCGGGGAGTTCACACAGGGCAGAGTCCACGTCTGTCCAAACCTAGCAGGACTGCGGTGCTGCTTGGAGGTCAGTGTAGGGCTGGGGGTGTCTGGGCGGGACAAGGCTATTCTTAACCTCAAAGCAGTGGGACAAACTGCCAAGGAAAGACAGACCAGCTCAGCTTTATAAGAACAAAGCATTTCTGTACATCCTCGCAAAACAGCATCACAAGCTGTGGTTTATGGTGGTTTTGTTTTTGAAGGGACACCATTTAGAGTAACATATGCGGAGAGCATTTCAGATGAAAGACAGGCAATGACTTTACTTCTAGACCTTGACTTCATCACGGCAGAAGGTGGTGAGGGGCGCCTGGGGAGGCATCACACCAGCCCCTCTGCTGTTGTGCATTTGCAATTTTCCATAATAGAAAGCGGGAGAAAAAGATATAAAGACAACGAAAAGACAATCAACACATGGGCATCAGGTCTTTGTGACGCCCAGCAGTAAAGTGACACCCTTCATCTATAAAGCACACTTGCAAATCCATAAGGAAAAACCAGAACCCCAATTCCAATTGAGTAAAGGCCCTAAACGAGCGATGTGGCCAGAGATGTAAGATGCAAAGCAATGATCGTGGAAAACAGCAAGTGATCCCACGTCCTGCGGAAAGACTATAGGGAGAGGCACCTCAGGTCGCAGGGACCCTCTAGGTGGCAGAGTTCTGCACCCACCGGTGTTGCCAGGGCTCAGGGAGGGGCCAAAGTTACCGCTACAGCTGAAGGTAAGGAAGAGATAGAAAAGCAGTTGCCTGCCCCAGCAGGCAGACAAGTGAAGGAGGCGGCCTGGGAATCCAGCTCCCCAGGGGCCAAGGCAGTGCCACCTGCGGGCTGAGGAAAGCAGAGGGATTTTCAGGGACAGAATGGTTATTGGATTCAGCCTGGAAATTAGATTTCCCCAGCAGAGGCGGCACCCCTGTTGCAAGGGACCAGATTCCCTGGTGGGGGTGGGGGTGGGACAGATGGCCCCTTAGTGACCTGCCCCCAGGCTGTCCAGCACACATCTGATGATCATATGGAGGACGACTTGCATGTGCAAGGAGAACAATCTGGGGGGGGCTCTTCCCCTGTGCCGCTGGGGTATCCTAGGCCAAGTGCAGGCCAGGTCCACAGCAGTGCTACCTGTCCCCCAAGACAGGTGTGCTGCTGGGCAGGTGGTCCAGAAGGACCAGGGGCTGTGGTGGTACTGATGTAGGAGGCTCAGGGTCAAGTCAAGGCAGGGACACTTGTGGGGGCCCAGGGTGCCTGAGGTCTGGGAGCTGAGAGCCTGGAGCTGGCAACGCCAGCCAGACATGGCAGAGACGGGCCTCGCTCTGGCGGGGGTACGGGCAGAGACAGGTGACTATCCCAGCCGCTGCCCCTCCTTGGGGCCTCAGCTACAGGGAGCACCACGAGAGGCACCTAAGGGGGTGGCCCAAGATTCCCACTGGGACAGGTCACAGACACTTGCTCCCTGTGCCAACTGAGGCACTCCCGGAGTCTCCTTGGTTCCCTGGGAACTGCCTCTATCAGAACTCATGGGATGGAGCCCTTTCTCTCTCCCGGCCATTGTGGCGGCTGCTCTTGGTTGGGGCCGTCCCACACCTAAGGCAGGAAGATGGTGGCCGCAAAGAAGACGAAAAAGTCTCTGGAGTCGATCAACTCTGGGTTCCAGCTCGTTATGAAAAGTGGAAAGTACGTGCTGGGGTACAAGCAGACTTTGAAAATGATCAGACATGGCAAAGCGAAGCTGGTCATCCTCGCCAACGACTGCCCGGCCTTGAGGAAATCTGAGATAGAATACTATGCCATGTTGGCCAAAACTGGTGTCCATCACTACAGTGGCAATAACATTGAATGGGGTACAGCATGTGGGAGGTACTACAGAGTATCATTGATCCAGGTAATTCTGATATCATTAGAAGCATGCCAGAGCAGACTGGTGAAAAGTATATCATGCAGAATTTTTCCTTAACAAAACTGGCCACAGCTTGTTTTAAAAAACAAAAAACAAACAAACAAGAACTCATGGGATGGGGATGGACAGCTCTCCCCCAGGCCCCAGGCTGGGATTCAGGGGAGCCCCCTTGCTATCCCTCCGGTACCAGGCCCACATTCCAGCTGCAGCCACAGCCCCACAGTGATACCTTGCAGGGTCCAATTGTGGGGTGTGGGCAAAGAGGATTTACCTCCTCGGCGGTCCCTGTAGCAGCCAGCCCAGGGACACCCCAAGGTCCCCGGGGCTGGGGAGCTGTGGAGCTCCATATAAGGAAGGTAGGGGCTGGCAGTCACAGTGCCCTCTCTACTTGTACCAGCAGCCCACCCACTCTACCTCAGCCATGACAGGCGAAACTGGGGGGCAAGGGAGGGGTCAAGCCCCAGGGTATCCTACTGTCTGAGGTGGGCTGGCCAGCTGCTTCCAAAGCCAATGCCACCGAGATCCCCTGAGTGGCCTCCCCCCAACCCTTCTAGCAGAGGCTCACACTCTCCCCATCCCCCACTCCATCTCAAGGACAGCAGAGCAGCTTGGTGGGGGTGGGGGTGGGGGGTGGGGGGGTGGGGGGGGGGGGGGGGGGGGTGGGGAGAAGTTCTGAGGACCCAGGCTCAGAGTCCCACCCTATCCTACCCTACCCTGGGGCAGGCATAGGAACCAAGGCATTCCTGAGGAGGGGGCTGAGCCTCAAAGCCAGGCTGGGACCACAAGAAGACAGATCTGACTGGCACCAGAGCCTGGGAGCTCAGCCCCTACCAAAGGGCCAAGGTGTCCATGAAGCGTCCTGAGAGCCCCACTAAAGCACAGCTGGGGCGGCTGTCTAGCCAGGCCAGGCCAAGGGCTGCAGGGAGGCAAGTGCAGCAGTCGCCCACACTGGCTACCGACCGGCCTGTGTACGCTAGGAACGCCCTTTCCCCCCAAGACGGTGGACCCCCTTCTTCCTGGCCCCCTCTGTCACCATGGCAACACCCAGGCTTCTCAGTGAGGGACAGAGCCTCTTTGTGGTGGCACAAAGCCCCTTTGAGGGGCAGTGGAGGTGCAGTCCCTAGGAGCCTGTGGCCAATAAGCCTCTGGGGGGTGAGGCAGGGCCCCTCAGCCCAGCCACCCTCCTCCTGGGTTGTAGAGCCAAGGAAGCTAGGGTGGCAAAGTCTGTTGATTAGCAGCTGGGACCGATCCCCCCCCACCAGTGCCACCTGCCCTAGCTGCCCACAGAAGGGTCCCTGGAAGGAGCCCCAGGGCTGTCTGCTAGAGTCTGGGGGATTTCCAAAACTTTCCCATCATTGTGAGAAGAAACATGCTCACCTAGATAAGAGGAAAAGGCACAAGCAGTGGGGAAAACTCCCACCTGATGGGAACCAAGCCAGCAGGCTCAGGACCCAATGGGAACTGGGTACAGGAAGTCCTTGGGGGGCGAACAGGTCCGATGACAGCAAGTCTGGCACCAGGTCCACTAAGGGGGCTGCGCATGGCACCTAGGCCTACCCCAGCTCGCTATCCCTTGCTTCTCTCGCCTGGCTTCCCCTGCTGTAGGGAGTCCCCATCTTTGCCTGCCTTCCCCCGGGGAAGAATGCAGCTGGCCCAGCGTTGTGGTCTGGGGCGGGCCTGCTGCAGCCACAACCTCAAGACAGACTTGGACAAGAGGAGAACCTGAGGGCAATGCGGACCTGGTGACGGAGCCCAGCACAGAGCACTCCTCCCCCCACGCCAGCAAGCCTGCCCCATCAGGGGCCTCACTCACCCTACCAGGCTCCCAGCCCTGGAACCCCTCCCCATCCCAGCCAGCGGGTCCCTGCTACCCTGATGGCTGCTGACTGGGCACTTGGCAGTGCCCCTGCATGCTGGGCGCCCTGCCCGGGCAGCCCTCCCCAAGCAACCTCAGCCTGACCCACGGCAGCTTTGCTAACTAAGCCACTGGGGTGGGGGTCATGGCCCCCGGGGCAGCAGCACAAGGCAGAGCTGGCCCCGGGAGAGATCAGTTCCTTTGTGGGCAGATCTACGCAGGTCCTGGGGAGGCTGCCAAGGGGCCAACCCTGACACAGCGGTGCCCCTCTGAGTCAACAAGCACCCCCTAACTCCCTCGCCTCACCCTCCCTGCCTGCTTTTCCCATCACATTCCTGCCTGCTGTTTGTGGGCACCAGTGTGCCTGCACTGGACCAAAATCAGCAATACCAGGTCAATTCTCACCATAGCCCTGGGAGGGAGCAGATGGGGGGGACCTCTAGCAAAGGGGGCTTCCAACAAAGCCCAACCCAGGTTCTTGCCATCCAGGGAGACGGGGCCTGGGGTTCAGCAGGATTGGCTTCAGCCTCCTCTCTCTGGAGAACGAGATGGGTCCGGAAACGGGCCACTCCTTCCCTCCCTCCTCAGGAACAACACTGGGGACTCAAGCACGGAGACTCCACGAGGCTTTGCCAGCACAGCACCCACAGCCCAGCGCCTGGGACAGGGCCAACAAGCACCACAGGTGGCAGGAAGGCCCTCCAGCTGCCGTGGGCACAGGTGAGATGGCTGTGGCCATCCAGTTCTGGATGGGTCAGAAGTGAGTGTGGGCGATAGAGCAGGGTCCACCCTGGGGAGGGAGGTTCCAGGCCCTTCCAGCGTTGCTCCTGGCTGGCAGCACCCAAGGGCCAGGTCCCCCCTAGTCTGCTCTTGCCCAGGGCCAACGAGCAGGTGACCACAGCCAGCTCTGGCTTCTCCTGGGCCCCCAGGCACATCCTTCCCTTCCAGGAGCTTAGCTGGACACCAGCCTTGCTGCTTCTAACCCCCTCTCCAGGCTGGGAGCCAGCTCAGCTGCTCGAAGCTCATGAGTGCCCATGGCAACAAGTCCAGACACCACCAACCTCCAGCCAGTAACAAACTCCCCCCTTTTACACGCAAATGACTCAGTGGGAAAGGGCAGGGGGCTCCACCTCACCCTCACCAAGCACAGACTTTAGGCCCTGTGGGGTCTCCTCTGGCTCCTCCCATACATACCAGGAGAGCCTCCAGGGAGCTGGACTTGTCTCTGTGTCCCCTCCCTGCCCAGAGGCATTAGGAGCACTGCAGGAGGGATGCCTACCATTTGGGGACCTCCCAAAACTCACCTGCAGGCACATGTGGCAGCCACCCTTACGTGCACGCGCACACAGGGAGGGATGATGCCCCCACAGGACACCCACACCAGCCATGCTGTGTGCCCACTGCCCACTCAACCACAGCTGCCCCATGGACCTCACTTGCCCCAGTGGAAAATGGGTGGTGGGTGGCCCGAAGGTCCTGCCAGGTCCTTGTTGCAGGAGAGGAAGGGAGGATGAGCGCTCCGTAGCCACTGTGGCTCCTGGTAAGGATCAGCATCCTATGCAGACCCCGTTCCTGTCCTGACCTCCCCATCAGGAGCCTGATGGGCTGCCCCCCATCAGGACCTCAGACGCCAGGCCTGTCTGAGACACCTCAGTCTGCACGTGGCTCCAGCCTCGGGTCCACACTAAAGCCTGTCTGTGACGGATGAGGGTGGCTGGGGCACGGACTCTGGACAGAGGCACCCCACCAGCACAGAGCTGCCCACAGCACACCAGCACCCCGGGGCAAATCCTCCTGCCTTTGGAGGACCTGAGGGAGTGGCTCTTGGCTAACTTGTATTTAGCACACTTATGAGTGCAAATACTAGGGAATGGCCGACATGTGTCCTCCAAAGATGGAAGATGGTGTTGAACAATGAACTGGGAACAGACCACAGAGGAAAGGCGTGATCACAAATGACGATGCCCCCGTGGAGACTTAAAGAAAGCCGGGGCAGAGGCGGTGAAGGGCAAGACAGGGGTTCCCCGCAGCAAATCTGCACACAGGGAGGCATCGGAAAGCAAACTCAGGCCAGACCTTCCAAAGCCACAGAAAATTACATGCAGCTGATGAAAGAGGGAAGCCAAGAGATGTGGAAACTAACCGCCACATCGCAAAAATCCCCTGAGGGAGAAAGAGCAGAGCGGCACCCACAAAACAGTCAGGAACCACCCTCAAGAGAGGAGGCCTCTAGTGGGCTTGTCAGTGTACAGGTAGGAATCGAAGCTTTCCAAACCAGCTCAGAAAAGCGTGGATGCCTCTTTTTCTGCATTTTACGATTCCATTCCACTTTACGATTGCATTTAGGCTGAGGATTCCCCCCACCCTGCCCATTTCCTAAATGCTTGAGGTCAGCTCCGCAGCATGGGAGGGCGGTGCACTTGGCCCGACCTGCCAGCACAGCCCGGCGCCTCGAATGTTCCATGGCACGCTGGTTCTCCGCCCAGCTGTCCACATCCCGGAGAGGCCGCACCGTCCATCCACAGCTGTCAACCGTGCATCCCGTCGCCCGCTCACCATCTCTTGTGCTGCGGACACTCCTATGGCCAGGAACAGCTGACAGCTTTGTTCGACAAGATGCCCAGCCTTGGGGCGCCTGGGTGAATCAATGGGTTGGACCTCTGCCTTCGGCTCGGGTCATGATCTCAGGGTCATGAGATCAAGCCCCGCGTCAGGCTCTGCAGAGAGACTGCTTCCCTTTCTCTCTCTCTGCCTGCTGCTCTGCCTACTTGTGATCTCTCTCTCTGTCAAATAAATAAATGAAATTAAAAAAAAAAAAGCCTGGCCTCCTTAATTCGACATCGCTAAAAACGTGTGAACCTTGCACTCTGAAATTTCTTAAGGAAACTTCAGGGTGAAATTCCCTGATTTTCAGAGTCATGATCTGCCATTCACATGACGGGTCTTTCTCTGGGAGGGAGCAAGGAGGGCTCGCTGGGAGCTCTGGACAGCCCAGAGAAGTCCAGGCTAACCCGGTTATTTCAGCTGGGAGTCACCACACCATAGGCAGAAGTTCCAGACCCCATGCCTCGGGGAACAAGGGCTGCTGAGAGGCTGAAATGGATTTTCCAGCAAGGCCCTGATACTCTGCGTGCCTTACGAGGTCTTCAGCTGTCCTTAGCCATCCTTTGCAAGCTGCCTGTGGGGAGTGTTTTTACCGTCTCAGGATATCTGTGGATCTGTGGACCAATGAGTGTAAGAGATTAGGTATGAAAAAAAAAAAGGGGGAGATTAGGTATGAATCCATGAAACACAAAACAAAATCCAACCAAGTCAAAAAGAGCAACAATAACAAACTTAAACACCACATACACAGACTCACATACACAATACAAACTCACAAAAGTTATGATATCACGGATGTGGTCATTAACCAGACGGCAGGAACCCTTTCACAATGTATTTGTATATTCTATCACCATTCTATCACCATGACATGCACATCAAGTAGCTTATAGATTTGTCAATTATACTCAGTGAAACTGGAAAAAAAAATGAAGAAAGACAAAGGAACATTTTTAGCTACCTTAATTTTACAAATTCAGTTG